GCGCAGTTTTGTTATATGGATATATTGTGTGATGGTGAGACTTGGGCTTCTATTAAGCCCATCACCCGGGTGGTGGACATGGTACCCAGTGGCTTGTTTTTCAACCATTACTCCCCTCCCCCCCTCTTTAGGAGTGTCCCAGTATCTGTTCCCATCCCTGTGCCTGTGTATATTCAGTGTTTAGCTCCCACTTGTGATGGAGAACATGTGGTATTAAGTTTTCTGTTCCTATGTTGATTCGCTTAGAATGATGGTCTCTAGCTGCAACCAGATTGCTGCAAAGGACACATCTTTGCTCCTTTTTTAGTGACTGTGTAGTATTCCATGCCAGCCTCATTTTATAGTTTGAAAAACTGAGGCGCAGAAGGGTCTCATGGGTTGTCTGTTGTTATTCAGTAGATAAATGGCATAGCTGGGATTTGGAGTCTGCCTCCAATGGTTGGCCCTTTTTTTTTGACTTGAACAAAAATATGGAATACTTCACAAATTTGTGTGTTTTGGTTTTTTTTTGAGTCAGAGTCTCACTCTGTCACCCAGGCTGGAGTGCAGTGGCATGCTTACTGCCATCGCAGCCTTGACCTGCTGGACTCAGGTGATGATTCTGCCTTAGCCTTCTAAGTAGCTGGAACCATGGGCATGCACTACCATGCCCAGATGATTTTCTAATTTATTGTAGAGATGAAGTCTTGCCTCATCTGGTCTTGCTCAGGTTGGTCTCGAACCCCTGAACTCAGGTAATGCTCTCACCTCTGCCTCCCAAAGTACTAGAATTACTGGCTTGAGACACCGTGCCTGGCCTTTTATGTTTTTTAACTTAAAAATAAAGATTTGCTCACTTTAGGGTCCAGGGATCCTGCTGAGCCTTCTCGGGAGGGACACTCAGCGTCCCCTGCTCTGTGTGGTCCTGCATGGAACACTGACCCCCCAAACCGTGTGCCCAGAACTTCCTCAGTGCGTGGGTCCTTGCAGCTGGATGACTTCCTTGAGAGCATTCGGTGCATGAGCTCTGGGTCCAGTGTCTAGTCTCCATGGTACTCCTGCAGCCTAGGTGTTTTGTCCCATCCACAGACACAGAGAAGGGAGGCAGCCTCGTGGTCGGAGACTTTGAGATGGCAGCCAAGTACGGTGAGTGACACTGGGAAGCTGCCCTAGCTGGGCTGATGCCTGCTGGTGCTGGGGATGCAGACCCCGGCCCAGAACTCCTGGGTGTGGTCCCTGAGTCTGTCAGCCAGTTGCATGCTCACAAGTGTCCAGGTGTGGAGTTCAGTGGCCCCGGATCACCATGTGGGCCCCAGCCCGGTTTGTGCTTCTTAATAATGGCCGCAGGCAGGGGCCTCAGTGTCCCCAGCCACAAAAGGGCCACAGTCCCCATCCCTCCTTTGATTTCATTTCTTCTCATACCTTTTCCCTGCTGCTTGGGTAACACCAAGAGTGAATTCACAACTGTCACATGACCCTGAAGAAGTCAGGGCCTGTACAGCTGGTGGGCCATTCCCAGGTCGCAGGCCATGAGCCTGGCAGGGCCTGCACCCCTCATCCGGGCCTGTGTCCTCACGTGCCCCAGGTGTGCTGTGTGGGAAATCTTGGTGTAAACACTGCTTTTAGTTGCTGTTCCCAATTTGCAGACCAAGAGTTAAACTTTGTCTATTTTTCTTCCCCCTCCCAAAAGTGATTTTTATAAAGCTTTCATGTCCCTTCAGGTCTGTCCCTGTCAATATTGGATACTCATGACTCCTCAGTAGACAGAGCCTTGGAGCACGCTTGATTTGTCCCATCTCCTGGGGCACAGAGGGTCATTCTAAGCTAACTTTGGTGCTGCTTTGGTTCCCCAGAAAACTCAGTTTTTATTCAGGTCAACACTGGGAACCATGTCCAGGGTCTCGGGTGCAGAGGTGTGGCCAAGTAGAGGTGGCCCATGGCCCGAGGCAAGACCTGCATTCCCCTGGCCCTGTAACCAGGCCTGGTGGGAGCTGGGGCAGCCTGGACAGCCCCTCTGCCAGGCTTGGTGCCTTGTGTCGTGCTCCATGACTGTCTCATCATGAATCAGAAGTGCCTGGGGATAGGAGCGGAGTGGGTGAAGTTGAGGTCTGCACACCCCCTCCGCAACCCCAGGGAGTAGGCCATCTGGAACCTGACTAGGCCTGGGGTCTCCCCAGTGTGTCGGACGCTGGAGACACGGCCACCGCGCAGCCCCTTTGCGTGCATGGACCTCACCTATGTGGGTATGCTGCTCCAGGAACTCGGCTTTCCCCGGGACAAAGTGCTGCAGGTGAGGATGTGGGCACCCACAGCCACTGCCCCTGCTGTGCATCTGGTCCAGGGGCCTCCCAGGCATGCCCGCCATCATCCATGGCACCTGCCCTCCTGCTGGGGTGCATGATGGTCTCTCTCCCCTCTGTCTATTCAAGCTGACTCGGAAAATTGACAACGTTGAGACCAGCTGGGCCCTGGGGGCCATCTTCCATTACATCGACTCCCTGAACAGACAGCAGAGTCCATCCTCATAGCAGCCCCCGTGCCCCAATGGTCTGCCTGGGCCTCTCCCGTGGATGTGACCTCATCTTGAAGAACCAGCCATGGTCTGCCTGGGCCTCTCCTGCCCTAGATGTGACCTCGTCCTGAAGAGCCACAGCAGGGCTGCAACCCTCCCCCATGTAGGGCTGGCTAGTGTGTCAGCTTCTCCCACTGCGTCTGAACTCCCGCTTGCCTCGGTCCCAGGTGGGCAGGAACCAAGCAGGGACAGGGGCTCACTGAGGCAGCAGCACAGCTGCCCTGCCCCTTATGGCCCCTGCGGAGCTGTGTACAGCCCTGGGATGGGAGTCTTGTTTTGTCCCAGCCCCTGGGACTTCCTCCTCAGGACAGACTGCCCATTCCCCAGGAGGGCCTGGTGAGGTCCTTCAGGCTGTCCTGGATGCTGCCCTGGGGGGCAGGCAAGTGAGAAGTCACACCCTCCAGGATGGCAGGTCTGAGCAGGTTACTGTGAATTCTGGACTTGAGATTGTTGCTCCCTCTCTCTGTGTGGATGTGTGAATCCATCCAGAGGTCTGCTGTCCTCAGACCTTCAAGGTTGGGGTTAAGTGATGGGGGGACACTGAGTGGGAAGAGGGGCGGGAACAGCTCCTCTCAGACCTCACATGCTGCCCGCAGTGTGGCAGTGCTTGACAAACTGCCATAACATTGTCTGTAGCCATGCTGCTTGAGTGCTGTCACCATGATGTGGTGCTGAGTGCTCGTGTAGACACCATGTTCTGAGCCCCTTTTTCTGAACACCAACTTTGTGTCCATGAATGTATCGCTTCTGTGAGCCAGGGCCGTGTGCCCCACCTGGGTCAGCTGAGCCGCTGTCCCCAGAGCCTCGTTCTCATGGTGTCTCTGGCTGACCTGCCCTCCTGCACCCCACTTGGCTTGATGTGGGCCCCAGGTCCCAAGTCCAGTGGTGTTCCTTCAGTGAATGTACAATATGTGGCGTCCACTGAGCCTCACTGTTCCACTCAGAATAAAAGGTTTACAGGGCTTCCCCTCTGGAATTTCTCTTGAGCGACGGCAGCAATTGCCTACCTGGTACCTGAGAGCCCTGTTGACTAAAGCTTAAAAACTGCCCAAGCAGGTTGATGGGAGGTGGCAAATCTTTAGCTCTGCCAGAATCTCTCCTGGGCTGGTGGGGATCTGGCCAGGCCCTGCCCCTCAGCTATCTGTTGGAGACAGAGCTCCTCCTCGGAGGGACAGTGACCCACAGCACGGTCAGGGAAGGTCTGGGCATGTCAACTGTGGCACAATGGAAGTCCCCATGTCACTCACTGTTCAGTGAAGATCTGGTTTTAAGTCTAGGACAGTCCTGAAGGGGCCACATGCCAGGAAAAAGGCTGTGGGCTGACCACACCCTGAATGCTTGTGCTCAAAGTCCCTAGGCCTGTCTGGGACCCCATCTATGACAGAAGGACAGGGTCTGGCCCCAGGAGCTCCCAGGGCTGCAATGAAGGCCGAGTGTGCCATGCGTGGTAGAGGTCACACAGAGGAAGAATGGGTCCTACAGTCACAAAGAGGGTCAATTGACTCCTCCCAGGGCTTGAGCTTCATAGGGGGCAGAGGTTGGGAGAGGGACCCAGATTTAAACCTTTTTTTTTTTTTTGAGTTGGAGTTTCACTCTGTTGCCCAGACTGAATGGTAGTTGTACAATCATAACCATTGCAGCTTTGACCTAGGTCCAGGTGATCCTTCCACTTCAGTCTTCCAAGTAGACTACAGATGTGTGCCACCACGCCTGGCTAATTTTTTGATTTATTGTAGAGACAAGGTCTTGCTGAGTTGTCCAGGCTGGTCCCAAACCCCTGGGCTCAGGCAATCGTTTCACCTCCACTTCCCAAAGTGTTGGGATTACAGGCATGATCCCCACGCCGGGCAGATGTTAAACCTTTTTGATGTTTGAGCAGCTGTGGGCCTGCAGACACCGGGAAATGGAGGGTATCCACACTGCAGAGGGTGGTCAGAGCGACCCCAGTCCCATAGGCTGCAGGGAGACCCCGGACAAGAACAGATGGTTGCATAGAACTGAAGCTGGCTCTTCTCTGCCCAGTGGTCTCCCCTAAACGTAAACCTCAGAAAAGAGGTCTCCCAAGGTCAACATGTGTCCTGGGCTAGAACGACAAAGCAGAAACAATGCTCCCCAAGTGAAAAAGTCCCTTAGATCTGCAGCTGGATGCTTCTGCTTGAGGAGGGCAGGAGGAAGCCTGTTCCTCCCCCACATTGGCTACCCCCTTCCCTACTACATCCCTACCAGCTCCTACTTAATAACATCCAGCTGTTGAAATATGCAAAGAACTTCTGAGGCAGAGAACCCCAGATGCATGAAGGGAAAGCAAGTGTCGATTGGGCCCATTTAAAGAAGGCGAGTGATCTCACATCTGAAAAGCAGTAAACAGCTGGAGGTTTCATAGAAGAGCACCAAATAAGTCATGGAATATTTTCAGGCCCTGCAAAATATGCAAGCCACTTCTGTTTGATTGTCCTTTGTGATGATAAAATGAGCTCTAGTTTTTCAAAAATAGCCAGCCATGCACATTGTGGCACATTGCAAAAGAGGTAGTTGGGATACAGTGAGAATCCCATCCCTTCCAGGGCATGTGCGTGTGGATGCACTCTCACAGGGCTCTTCAGGTCCAGCTCAGAGGTCCACTCACTGCAGGCCAAGCAGTGATGGTTGGTGGTGTTCCCATGTCTGGATGACAGGTCTCCTGTCCTGCATTTGGGCACTTGGCATCCTGATAGCACCAGGTGGGAGGCAGCAGACATCGCCACATTCTCTCCAGTCCCGCTGACAAGCATCACTGTCTGCCTCCCTGCATCCCCACCAACGCAGCCACGGCCAAACGGCTTGATTCTTACATTCTGGCAGATAAAGATTGGTGGCTGTGCTGATCTAGTCATCTTGCATCATATGTGTCTAAGAGCAAGTTGTATTTCCTTTTCCACGAAACACCTATCCATATCTCTTGCCAGTTTTTCTGTAAAACTGTGGTCATCTTTTGATTTTAGGAAATCTTTACTTAAGGAAATTAGCCCATTGTGATAGAATGCTATCTGGTTTGGTTTTTTTTTTTCATTTTATTATAACCTTGTGACTTTGTTTATGGTGTTTTATTCAATGCACAGTATTACTATTATTATTATCATCATCATTATTATTATTATTTTGAGTTGAAGTCTCACTTTGTCACCCAGGCTGGAGTGCAGGGGCACACTCACGGCCACTGCAGCCTCAACTTGCTGGACTCAGGCAATCCTTCCGTCTTAGCCTTCCAAGTAACTGGAACTACAGGTGTGCGCTACCACACCTGGCTAATTTTTTGATATATTGTAGAGACAAGGTCTCACCAGGTTGCCCAGGCTGGTCTTGAGCCCGTGGACTCAGGCAATCTTCTCACCTCGACCTCCCAAAGTGTTGGGATTATAGATGTAAGCCACCATGCCCGGCCTATTATTTCAATTGATCATAATCATATTTTTATACAAATGTGTCTTATTTTGTGACTTCCAGGTTTCATGTCATAATTAGGAAGGCCTCCCCACAGAGATGGCTTCAAAAGTTAGCCAAATAGTATTTCTATGGTTTTAGTGTTTTCATGCATTTGAATACCCTTAGACAAAACAAATAGTTGCAGAGTGTATTTGATTTTTAGAACCTTGCAAAGTCATCAGAAGATAAGTGTGATGTTCAAACTGCAGTAAAAACATTTTTGGGTAAAATCAGGGATGACAATGGGGTTGTGAGGCCATTCAAAAGCATGCAAATCATAGCCATATTGTTAGCACAGAGTCTCCTGAGGCAGGAACTCAGGAAACCACACTTGTTGTTCATTCCTGATTGAGTTGTCTTACGTGACCTGTCTGGAGACCATGACATGTGAGGAGAGTTTGAAATAGCCGGGGTTGTTCATCCAGGAGAAGAGAAGCTTGTGAGTGGATGGGAGTGTGACAGCCATCTTCACTGTTACTTGAAGAGTCATCAGACACTGTCTTTGCCGCGTTGCTCCAGAGGCTAACTCAGACATGGGTGGGTGTTACAGGGAGGCTCTGCTGGCTCCCTCATTGTCTAACTGTGGACGAGATGCTGGGATGAGGTAGACTCTTCCCAGGCGAGTCCCTTCCCCAGGCAGCATTCAGAGGAGCTCTAGAAAGAGCACTGTGTGAGGGAGAGGTCTCCTCACACTGCAAGACTTTGCGATCACCTTGAAATGACCTTGAAGGTCATGGCCTTGAAGGTCATGTCCATCCCTTCCCAGTTAGGTTAAGATCTCAGCGGCTTGTGTTAGGGAGTGCTGGTGTGTCAGGTGTGAGCTGACCATTTTGTGTGGTTGGTGATTTAACTCCATCCTCAGCTGAGGGAGAAGCCAGCCCACAGGAACCACAGGGGCTGCTCCAGGGTCCTCCTCACACCAGGTCTATGGCGTCCTGGTCCCAGCCGTGGAGACAAGTTACAGGTGTCTCCAGAGAAATGTTCCTGATTACATCAGGCCTTTTGCTTCTGATCAAAGGCAGGTCTCTCCACTGAAGAATCTGTCATCTCCATAACAGACCGCTTTGTGTTGTGTAGAAAAATCGTTACACAGGCAAAAGAAGAGCACCTCTAGGCTCCACTGCCCCTTTGTCATTGTGACAGCCTCTCATTCTTTTCCTGCCATTGATTTGAGGGACGGAGGTTTCCGCCAAAGAGGTTAAGTACAGTCTGGCAAGCCTGAGTGTCTGTCCCATGGTTTACACAGCTCAGAAGCAGATCTCCCCCTATAAGGTGTCCTGTCTCGAGAAGCCTCTCAAAAGGTCAGAAAAGTCCAGAGCTGAGTTTCAGCAAAGCACGTGGGGCAATGGGGTGGCTCTAAATATAGCTCTGCAAAGCTCCAGTGGGCAACACACAAAGCTGCAGGGTCCCTCCAGACCACGAGAGGTCCGCCGAGGATCAAGTGGCTTTGTAAATAAAAATGCCAGTGCTCAGAGGCCTGCAAGGACTTATTTT